CCCCCTCCCCAACGTGTCCCTTTTCAATCTTCTGCAATTTAAACAACAGGCTGGGAGAAGCTGGGCTCTGCCGCTCCGCTCGCTGACACGCTTGTTATTAATATTCCTCCAAAGAGCTTTTTTGGCAGGTCCCGGGTTTTCAGGCCTTTCTCCAGGCACGCGGGGGTCAGCGTGACGGATACCCTGCCACCGGGAAAGATGCTCCCAACATGCTGCTTTTGGCAAGAGCATCGCTGCGGCTCGGGAGTCAGGGAAAGGGAGCAGCGAGGCTCCCGCTGTGCACCCCGGGATCAGCCCCAAGCATCCATCACGCCGGGATCAGCCCTGACCATCCATCTCACCCGGCCAAGGCCACGCATGGGGCGAGCGCGGCCGAGCACGTGAGCCCTGGGTTGTGGGATGAGTGTGTGTGTGTGTGTGTGTGTGTGTGTGTGTCCTCCCCGCCGACACTCACTTCTGCAGGAACTCCTCCAAACCGCAGATCTTGAGCATGAAGTCCTCGACGTCGACGGCGTGCAGCTCGTCGTGCGTGTAGCACAGAGCCTGGTAGATGAGCAGGTCCACGGTGGAGGAGCCTGAGGGGGGAGGAAGCAGCACCATGAGCCTCAGGGATGGTGAGACACCCCCCCTGAGCCTTCACCTGGGGGTTGCTGGGGGTCCCCCCTTGATTGCTGCAAGGGGGAACCTGCTTGGCAGCGCAGCATGGGGCACTTACAGTCGCAGGTGAAGGTGAGGGGCTCCCGCAGACTGTCACACACCACCGTCACCTTCAGGCTGATGCCGTGGCCCAGCTGCTCGGGGCTGAGGTTGACGGCGCTCCACACCAAGCCAGTGAGGGAATAGTCCTTGGTGCTGTAGCCGGAGCGCAGCCTGCGGAGACGGGGATAGGTCAGAGACGTTGCCCTGCTTTACGTTTTACCCCCTACCCCCCTCCGAAACATCTGTTTTGGGGCGTTTTGCAGTGAGATGCTCCAGCCCTAGACGGGTACTTACACATCCAGCATGTGGCAGAAAGCAGCCACCTCCTCATCCCGCTCCTCGGAGACCTCGAAGAGCTCGTAGCCATTGGAGAAGGAGTGCGGCCGGGGGGCAACCTATGGGGCAGAGCACGAGCCCATTAGCTGGCTGCAGCATCTCTGGGGGCCTCCAGCCCACCGCCCACCCGGGACGGGGTCTGCCAGATCCCCCCGTTAGAGCATCGGGCACCGAGAGCCTCTGCTCACCCCGGTGTTGCTGCGGCCGGGGGAAAGGCAGCTCTGCAGCAGCGTGGGGGAAACCTGGGCCAGCGCAGGAGGGGTTCGGGCCAGGCGGGTGCCAGCCAGAGGACACATCACCCATGTCTGCACCGGCACCTTCCCCACAGCTGGGCGAAGGGAGACTTGAGGTCTTGCTGCCCCCAGCCCCCTGCCCACAAAACTGGCCGTTTCCAGGCTGTTTCCAAAAGCCCCAACGGGGAGATCCCCCAGGGATGGGCAGAGATGGACTCGAGGATGCCGCGGGATGGGCAGGGACCGTCCCCAGGCCTCGGGGGTGCTGCAGCAGAGCCCTGCCCATGCCCGGCCCCACATGCCTGGGGGGAGCGGCAGCACCACTGTGCCAGGCTCCCCCCTGCGCCTGGGGGTCCCTGGGCCTCCATCGCTCTTTCCCAGTGAACAATGGCCCCACTGTCAGAGCAATTAACCCAGCCAACAGCTAACGGGAGGCAGAGAAAGGCAGAGAACACAGCAGCCGCTAAAGACAATTTTAATGCTCTTTTATAATTAGTTTCTGGCACTAAGAAAGCCGAGAGTGACTTACGTAGCCCCCGCTAGCAGTCCCCAGCTGCATCCCTTGCTCCCCGGGGAGGGGGGACCCCGCATGGAAGGTGAATTCTCCTGTTATTTATCTCCTCCTCTTGCTGGAGGTGGGAAGACCCGCAGCAGAGCCGGGGCTCTGCCCCTGCAACAGGCACCCTGTTGGGGACAGGGGACCTGGCAGCCTCAGGAGAGAGCCGGTGGCCGCGCCAGCAGCCCCCCGGTGCCCCTGCACGCAGAGGGGAGGTATCCTGCTCGCTGCTCGACGAAGGGAAGAATGGAGCTGGGATCGGAAAGGATGTTGCGAGGCGAACAGGAAAGCGATCGCCTGGCTCTCGGGAGGAGACTCCCGGCTCTTTCCGGAGGATCTTGTGACATTTTGTGAGCTGGCGGGACACGAGCCCGCTGCAAACCACCTGCAGCGTGACCTCTGGAGACCCCAGGAGTGCTCCAGAGCACTCGTGGGCTGTGCCAGCCCCAGGGCCGGGCACTGGGCTTTGGCTGGGGGGTCTGGGCAGTGGCTGGGGTCCGGCAGCGGCTGGGCACGAGGGTGAGGAGAGGAGGCAGCGCTCGGATGGCAGCGCACGGAGCATCCCGCCTGCTCGGCGGCAGCAGGATCATGCCCGGCTGGGACTTGCCCTTCTGCTTGGCTTCCTGGCCCCAGGTCGCCCACCCCAGAGGGTTTTGGCCACAGCTGTAGGACCCCACGCCCCTCGGGGAGCTGCACAATCTGGAAAGGTCTTATTAACCCCAGGGATGGTGTCTCAGCACATGGATGCCTCCGACCGTGGTACAAACAAGACCCTGAGGAGCCTGTAATGGCACAAATAAAACCAACGCAGAGCGAAGGAAATGCAGCAAAGCCACAGGCACCGACAGGCTTGTTTGCACCCTGCTCTCCCCAGCACCTCGGCTCCATCCCAGTCCCACTTCCAAGGAAGGAAAAGAAAAGCCTCTTACCGGATCGATGGAGATCCTGTGGTTCTTGTTTGGCACCAGGTTCTTTCGGTTGCCAAAGCGGGAGACGTATGTCCTGGGGGGGACCTGGGGGGGCATGGTTTTGCTCCGTGCCACTGGCTTGCCACTCGATTCCTTCTCAAAAATGCTCCTGCCCTCCTTCCAGCCACGGGCAGCTTCCCGCAGCACCTCCGACTCGTAGGTGGACTTCAGGTTGAGGCAGGTGATGGCGTCGTTGATGCCGCCGTAGTCGGCAATGCCGTAGGGGTCTTCTTCGGAGATGCGGCGGCCGAGCAGCTTCCCGTGAGCCCGCTCATGGGCCGCCGAGAACATGTTGATGTCCCTGGGCTGGGGTCCTTTGGAGGATGGGGGGGACCCCTTCCCCGAGTGCTGGTTCCCCTCGGAGGAGCTCCAGAGGGGGTGCCGGGGGGGCAGTGGGGGTGGCGAGAGCTTTTTGGGGGAGCTGCCCCCACTGTCGTGGGGTGAGGTGCCATTGAGGGGCTCCCCGAGGAAGTCCCCCCCTGACCCCTCGAAGATGTACAGGTAGTCCCCGGCCAGGGGTCCCTTCAGCCAGGGCTGGGGGTCCGGCTGAGGGGGGCTGGGGCCGGGGGGCGGTCCAGGCACGGGGAGACCCTCAGGCACCATGGGGACGTTGTAGCTGAGCGTGGGGTCGGAGCCGGAGAGGCCACGTGCCGCTTTGATGCCAGCGCAGCCGTTCCTCTCGGCGGGGTTGTCCCAGGAGATGAGGGGCCGGTCTCCCCGCTGCTTGGCCCGGTTCTCCTCCTTGTCCTGCCGCAGGCGGGACAACGCGTCGTACTCCATCTGCAGCGCCTCGGCCAGCGCCAGCTCCTTCCGGCTGATGCCCACCGACTCCAGGGACTTCCAGTGCTCCCCATTGCCGCGCGTGGCGGACATCTCTCCGGGGACTGGGACCTCTTCCTCCCGGGCTCAGGGGTCAGGAGAAAGGCATGCTGCACCGCCGGCCACCTGGGCAGAGGGGAAAGGCAAGGGTTAATGGCTGGGCAAGCCACTAAAATTGGCTAATGAAGGTGGCACAGCCCTTCCTCTCTGCGATGGAAAAAATGAAATATTTAGGGGCTCGGCAATGCGATGGGTTAAATAAAGATTTGGCTGCTGCCCGCCCGGCCAGGACCCTGTGGCCACCAGTCAGGCAGCACAGGCAGGGCTGGCTGGCCCCGCAGCAGCTGCTGGGGCTATTGCTGGAGCCCGACGTATTTCCCCGAGGACAAAATAAGACGCAGAGAGGGGAGGGCAGCGGGGCCAGCGCCTGCAGCTGGGGCTGACTCAACCTGCAACGCCGCTGCCGTGCCCCAGCACAGGCTCCGCAGTGGGGCTGATACCCAGGATGTGGCTCTGAGCTGCCTCACTCATCTCGGAACTGTCACAGCTTTGAGAAGACGACAGCAAAATGAGGGCTTTTGGAAGCAGAAAGGAAAAGATGAGAGAGAGGGGCAAGGAAGGGACGAGGCTCCGTGCCTGTGGGGGAAGAGGAAAGTCAGCAGTGAGGAACCAACCTCCCACGGCTGGTGCCGAGGGTTTTACCTGGCAGCTCGCTGCTCTCTCCCTGTCTGAGGGCCGCTGCAGCCCGTCCCCAAACCCCATTTCAGCAGAGGGAACCGTGCATGGCTCGGGACAGCCGGGAGCCCTCGCTGCTCACCAGCTCCCATCGCTATTCCCAGCACCGACACACCCGGGCTGCTTCAGCGAGCAAGAAGCGGGGCACGGTGATGGGGATGCGGGCGTCACGCTCAGCTCTAATAACCACCAGCATCCTCAGCCCCCTCGAGGGGACCCAGGGGTCCCTCTGAGCCTCCCCGCATCGCCCGGCGTGGCGCAGCCTCCAAACCCAGCGACTCTGCAGCGTTCAGTTGCGCAAGCGGAGAGGGGAAACAGCCGGACTGGAAACCGCTGCCTGGCCCCCGACCAAAACCCGCGGAGGGTGGTGACCGCAGGGGGGGCTCGGCTCGCCACGCTCTCTGGGGAAGGATGTTTCACCTCCTCTTCCCTTCCTAGCAAAATAAATAACGAAGTGGATGTTAAACAGAAGAGTGGAGCGAGCCCAGAGCCCCCGGAGACAGCCAGCACTTGAAATCTCTAGAGCTGAGAGGCAGCTGAGAGTTTTCGGGCTCTGGCCAGGGCTGGCTCACGAGCCTCAGCACGGGGAGGACACGGGACCTGCGTTGCCACCCAGGGCTCTCCTCTGCCCCACACCGCCCGCTCTGCGCTGCGCAGGGCTCTGGGTAACGCTCGGATTAAGGGCAAAAGGGTGCAACCACCCCTTCCCGGTGATTTTTGTTGGAAAGCGCTGCTGGGACATCGCTGAACCCGAGGACCTTCCTTCAAAACCCTTAACCACGAAGTGCAGGAGCAGGGAGAGGACTGGCAGACCCCGCCGCTGCCTGCCCTGACCCCCCATAATGGAGGAGACCACCTGGCATGACACGTGCCCCCCACATTCCACCCCATGGCACAGGGTAACCACCTCCAGCCTGGGCTATGCCAGTGACCACCCTCTGTCAGCAGCACCCAGCACCCAGCGGAGCATCACCATTGTCACCAGGCTGGTCCCCACCGTCCCCTCCCAGCCTGGTTGGTGATTATCACCCACAGCAGCCCCCCCAGACCCACCACCACGCACAAACGGGCCCTTCTGACCCCGGGACCAGATGGCTGCTAATCAGCCCGGCCCTGGCAGCAAACACATTTCCTGCAAGTGAGGTGGGTTTGAGCCCCTCGCCAGCACGGGTCCCCTCTTGCCCTCCCCAACACCAGGCTGGCTGGGGATCTCACTCAACCCAGCTTTTTTGTGCTTTCTAACTGGAAAAGTGGCTTCAGGGGTTGGGGGGACACAGGCTGGAAGTATTCCCTTCCCCGGCATTTCAGTCTCTGCTGGCTGCTGTGGGCTTTTCCTGGAAAAATAGAAATCCCAAAAGCTGGCAGTCCCGGGCTTCTGGAAGCTGAACAAAGAAAATCTGCTTTTAGCCCAAAAGCAATAAAATCAAACCGATTTTTGTGGCTGACAAAGCCACAAAGCCATTCTCGTCTCCAAGAGAAGCATCTGCATCTTGCTGACGTTTTGAGCAGAGAAACACTCCCGCCCGGTCAAGCCGAGGCTCCCGCGTGTGCTGGTGAGATGCAGACGGACCCACACCGGGGCAGCAGCCCCAAACCTGAGCAGGGGGGGCACCATCAGAGTGGCTAGGACATGGGGATGGGGAGGCTCAGCCCGCACCGGGCACAGCAACCAGCTGGAGAAAAGCCACGCAGAAGGGAGCTGCGTGTGACCCGGGGGATGTCACCTCGCTGGGGACACCACGAGCATCCCTAAGCAGGTGGCTCAGCCCCTTCCCTCCTGAGTCCGCAAGGCAATGCAAACCCACATGGAAGAGCCCCAAAATTCTCCCGGTCGTTCTCCAAGTCCTCGGCCAGGAGCAGGACTGATGCTCAACCAGTGCCTCAGTGCCGCTGCCAGGTCCTGCTCTCCAGGGTTTGGTTTTCCACCGAACACCTCTCTGCCCCCAGCAGCCTCTTACAAAAATTACCCAGGACTGTGAGCCCCCAGTTAGGTCTCAGCCCAGGAGCTCCTGAGGAGCAGAGACAAGCAGGTTTTTTTCCTCTTTAAAATGCTACTAGTAATAACATAGGGATAATTTTCTGACTTTAAATTTCCTGGCATTTGCCACGGTCACGTCAGCCTCAGGAGACCCATCCAGCCTGGGATCCCACCTTTCGGAGAAAAGCTGTGCTGAGTTACTGTGGCTGCAGCACACGGCTCGGCTGGAGGCACACGGGAGGGAAAACCACTTGTCCACTGGAAACCCTTTGCCCTAAGCCTAGAAATAGGGTCAAACACAGTTTTCTTCACAGCGTGCACCAGCACGGCCCCGTAAGGGAGGCTGCAGCCTTGCAGGGAGCCACGCACAGGCACCACACCCCCCCCGTGTAACCCACCAAGAACCGCGGCCACATCAGCGGAGCGCAGGGACGTTTCCCCATGGATGCACGGCCCAGGTGTGTGAAGCCAACCTCTTCCCAGGGACAGCCCTCGAGAACATCAGTGCTGAGCCCAGAGGGCAACAAAACCAGCTCCAAATCCTCTTCTGGGAACCTCTCGTGTTTTTTAACGCCATTTCAGAGCATCTGCTGGTTGCAGCACAGCCCCTTGTGTGGTTCTCAGCGTCAGCACCCGCTGCAGCCGTGGCTGGAGAAGCCAAAGCTCTTGTCCCGTGGGCTCTGAGCAAACCTGCCCTTCGAGGACACATTTTCTTCGCTCTGGTCTCTCCCCCGGGGCCAGCTGCTGCCTGCCCAACACCTCCCCGGGCTCTGCACACCCTGGGGAACGCACCCAGGGTGGGCAGAAAAGGGAGGCTTGGGGGGAGGCTTTCACGCCTGTGTGCTGGCAGATCCCCCCCACATACTCTGGAGATGATTTCTCAAATACCAGAACAGTGGGATCCACCCAGGAGCAGCCCAGCCCGAGGGAAGCCTGAGGTCCTCCCTGCCAAGGGTTCAGGGGCACCGTTAGCCCCCTCACCACCCACCCCTCCAAAAAAAAAAATCCCTCCACCCCAGCCAGTCCTGCTCTGCGGTTACTCTTGGGGACACCCTTTCTGCAGGGCTCTGGGGCTCCCCATGGGGCTGTCCCTGTCCCCACACCCAGCATCAGTGGGACAGGGAGGGACGATCCCAGCCTTTCTGCCAAGAGCTGAGCATCAGGCTGGGAGGAGGAGGACGAGGAGGACCAGGGCAGGCTGGGGGGGACCCGTGGGGGAGCTCAGCACCGCCTGCAGCCACCCCATACCCGCCCCTGCTCCTGGCAGCTGAGCAGCACCTGCTCTGCGCGGGGAGGGACGAGGGAAGCCGAGCAGAAAATCATCCTAAGGGATCCCACGGCGGAGCAAACGCCGCAGCCGGCCCTACCTCCCCGTGACCGGGGATGGGAGCCCGGGGCAGAGCCCCTGCGGATGGCGGGGGCTCGCTGCGCACCCCCAGCTCACCCCATCCCTCCCTCCCTCCCTTCCCCCTCGCAGGCAGCTGCGTTGGGAGCAGATAGAAAGGTCTGAAGCATCTGGGAAGACATCAAACATCTGAGGTCGAGGAAGCAAAGCGGGCCCCGGAGGGGCACCTCCCCGGGGTGTGGGAGCCGGGGATGGAGGTTATGCCTATCAGGGGAGACAATTCACACCCATTTATAATCCGGTGGAGGGAGGAGCGGCCGTGAGAAGGATAAAGCATCAGCCTTCACCTCTGGGGCTGCGGGTCCATCCATCCATCCTGCTGCTCCCGCTGAACGGGGCGAGCTGCCGTGTTCCCAGCCGCCGGAGCAGCCCCTGCCTGGCCAGGAGGATGGTGGGGAGTTCCCTGCCTTGGGGACACGGATCCTGCTCCTGGCTGCGTTCCCCAGCCACGTGTCATCGCTCCCGCTGCGAGTCACAGCACATTGTGGGGTGACAAAGGTCCCCGGACACACTGGACCCCGGGGCTGTCCTCCAGTAGCAAGGATGCTCCTACATCTGCGAGGCAGAGCCAGCTCCTTGTCCCATAGCATGAGGGGGGGGGGGCAGCTTCCCAGGACCCCGTATCAGCTTCAGCACCCCCCAAAGCAGGCAGGACCCAGCTCCCCCTGCTCCAGAAGAAACGATCTGGTCTCTATTCTCCTCTTCCCCTCCAAAACAGGAGGGAAATGGAGCCTTTTGGGACCTCCTGAGCAACGTCATGACCGAGGAAAGCCCTCTGGGTGGGTCTCCAGGTGGCGTTTCGACAAGAGGCAAAATGCAGGATTTTCATCCGTTTGGAACCGCAGCTCCAGAAAAGGAACCTGGTCTCAGAGGTCATTGCAAAATGAATCACAGAATCATCCAGGTTGGAAAAGAGCTTGAAGATCATCTAGTTCAATCATTAACCTCACACTGATCGTTCTCAGCTCCACCAGATCCCTCAGCGCTAGGTTAACCCAAAACCAAACC